TTCTGTGCACTTAAGATTGGGGCTGATGTTTGAAGTTGTGACACTCAGATTGCTTATATTTTCGACCTGAGGTTGAATGAAATGCTGTACAACTGTTGACTTATGCGTGCTTATTATTATCATGTTGATTTAGGACACTTTTATGTAGTACTCATTTTGACATTTGCTAGACATGGAATCATTGTCACAGGATGACCATGGAGATTTTTCATCAGTGAACATGGACACCGCTGTTGCCATACGTACCCTAGAAGCAACCTACAAATCATCAGCTGATGCTGCTGCAGTTGAAACTATGATATTGAAACTCACTGAAAGGGTATTGTCATTATCTCCTTGTATCACACCATGTTTATTGGTTGCCTATATACTCTGCCTTCACTATAAGTAATTGTTGATTGTCATGTGACACCGAGAGAGACTTGTATGAATCTTGTTAGTTCCTACTTTTATAGGTTGTGGATAATGAATGAATCCATCTTCTTTTTTTTCCTTTTTTTTTTCCTTCTTTCTTCTTCTTCCCGCTTGGATTGCTGTGTCAATGCCATGACAGGCTGGATAATGTTTTCTGGATTAATACTGTGACGCTTTAGTTCTGACTTTAGGATTTAGATCGAATGGTAAAGGGGGCTGATTTTGAAACATATGAACCTCAATTGTTTTTATGATTTTGAAACATATGACCCACAGAGGTTGACACAGAAATAATCAAGCTTATCCAGGTATCATTTGGTGAAGAAGAGGGCAGCTCACTGTAAATTTAGGTGTAGAAATGCAGGCTATGCAGCCATGCAGATGTGCTTGTTCGTGTGTAGATATCCCCCATGGGCATGTGTGTGAGTGTGTCCATGTGTACATGATTGTGTCTGCATGCAAATACAAGTTTCAGTGTAGTAGTGGATTTTCATTCCATAATTTTTTTTTTATCCCAAGTAAATTTTTAATCTGAGAAATTCCTTCAACTCTTGTAATACCCACAATACACTTCCATCCAATCTTCTTCCCCTTCTTTTCATTGAAGCACAAGCTCCCATTTTTGCATTGAATAACAAACTGCAAAGAAAGCATTGCTTTTTTATAGCTTTCACCAAATCTCATCATAAGTGATTCAACCCTGCAGGAAGGTCCACTTCTTAAAAGCAAGGGAAAAGCTGGCACTGCTACAAGGGTTGCTGTTCTGACTTGGAGATCTTTGCTAGTTATGTCAAGGGAATGGAAATACTACTGGCTTCGCCTTATTCTCTATATGCTCCTTACTCTCTGTATTGGTACAGTATTCTCAGGCTTGAGGCATTCTTTGTCTTCAGTTGTGGTGAGTTCCTTAAAATAAGATCATTATTGCATCTGAATTTGCACCCTTAAGTACCCAATGAAGAACATGATAACTATAAGACTTTTAGAACCTGGTCATATCTGTATTTTATATCAAGTTGTCGTAATCAAACACATGATTTGAGTAAAGACAGGTCTGGGTTGGACATGCACATCATACTGTCTGATTCATTATGGAAGTAGCTATTACTGTGACTATTCCTCTAACTAACCCCAGTGCATTGGATCCTTCCTCTTCTGGGAAAAAAAATAAAATCATCTTGATGTTGAGCAGGTGAAGTTACTTCTGCTATCACTTGGACTTCCTAGGACATAGTTCAGATGTGTAACTTAAAAGGATTTTCCTTGAATATTTTATTCTTTGAAATGCCTGATTGGCATGGAATGCATGTTATTTCCATCTATCATTCATTTGGTCAGTGGTAAATGTTCATCTATTAGCTTGATAACAATTTCTTGTTCATCGCTGCTTCTTGACCTTGTTTTTCATTGTTTTTGTCTTCATTCATGCACTTGCACTATTTCCCTTGCTATGATCCATCCGGATTTCTTATGTCCACTCCCATTTTGCAGACAAGGGTGGCAGCTATATTTGTATTTGTCTCATTTACTTCACTTCTAAGCATAGCGGGTGTACCTGTGCTGTTGAAGGAAATTAAGGTATTTTGTTGCTGTTTTGTTGGGTATTAATATGTAAAATTTGTTGTTATATGGTTACATATGATATAGGAAAGTAAGATTTGGCTTGAGAATAAATGGTACTCGTTTTTTAATTGATCTCATATAGAGTTCTGTGGATCAGGAAGCTGCCTTTGATATCCCGATTGAACCAAAGACAATAAATATTATTTATTTAGTTCATTGATTATACATCATATGAACTAGGTAGAAAATAGATAAACTAGAAAGTTTAAAACTCATCTATGTGTATCATAGAAAGTCCAATATGGGAAAATTATATTAAAATCTAATCAATCCGAGTCTTCTTTTTAATCATTATTTGATTGCCCATGGTTCATCTTTCTCATACTTGATTTGGTCAACCGGGTTGCCTGTTTTGCAGATATTTGCATGTGAAGAATCAAATAGGCATTCAGGAGCACTTGTCTTTTTACTTGGGCAACTTATATCTAGCATACCATTCCTCTTTCTCATTTCCATTTCATCAAGTCTTGTCTTCTATTTCCTCGTAGGCTTGCAAGACGGATTTAGCTTGTTGATGTACTTTGTTTTGAATTTCTTCATGTGCCTCTTAGTAAATGAAGGACTAATGCTGCTTGTCACTTCCCTTTGGCAACATGTTTTCTGGAGTGTATTAACAATGGTGTTCATACATGTGAGTTTCACTATCAATACTTTATGTTATTATCTTTGGATTGTTTTGCTTTCGCTGAGTTAATGGATGAGAAATATGTTCATGTTACACACGTGCACTTACAACTACTTTTGCTGTTGGTGTTAAATTGTACCTCTCTCTCAGTTAGCTGGGATATTCTAGTGTAGATAGTTCTATTGTATTTGAGTACTAAAGCTAATTGCAAAAATAAAAATAAAAAATCATCACAAATGTTCACTCAGAGCATCTTGTATGGTGTTTGATGACCTTTCTGATCTCTAAGTTGCAGTGAGTACTGATGTATATGCATATTTATATTGATTTATGAGTTGGCATTTCTTAATGTGATTGTTTATATGCATGCTATTCAGGTTGTAATGATGCTTTCTGCGGGGTATTTTAGAATTCGAAGTGCCTTGCCAGGACCAGTGTGGACATATCCAGTATCCTATATTGCTTTTCACACTTACTCTATTCAGGCAAGTTTGCTTGTAATTGCACTCTGTTGTATCCTTCATATGAGTAGCTGCGTTTCTTTATTGACATTATGATTAACACATTTGTTATTGCTCAATCAATTCAATACGAAAACCTGGAAGCAGTTGAAATAAGATCATATGCCTGAAAGGATCTTAGATGCCTTACTGGTGTTGATGTTGCAGGGGCTTTTGGAGAACGAGTACCTGAGAACTTCATTTGCTGTCGGGCAAGTAAGGACCATTTCGGGATTGCAGGCACTCCGTAGTGCATATAACATCTCTCCTGATCGTAATTCCAAATGGGAGAATTTGTTGGTGTTGTTTCTCATGGCTATTGGCTATCGCATTCTTGTGTTTGTTGTGCTGCATTTTTGTGTAGGGAGACATGTATCCATGCTAAAGTGTTGCCGGTATAATCGGGATACAGACAATCCTAGATGAATGGAAATTGTACTGCCACTTCTGTGCAACTAACCTGTTTTTGTCTCCCTATTTCAGTTTTACTGTTAGAAACAAAAGAACGAATTCAGTTAAAGAAAGAAAGCATTGGTCACAATTATGTCTTCCCCCCGCAAGTTTCTCAGATCCTTCTATTTGCCAGGATAGCCTCTATTTAGCGTTTCATGCCTGGTTAAGACAGTTTATTCTTCTTTTGATTCCTTTTACCTGTTTTTATGAATGCTTATCATGGTCATCCTCGAACACGTAGTTAGGTTTTATATCATAATGAACTACTTAATCATGTCTCGATTTGTAACTAATCTCATTTGGTTTCAAGTCAATATTTACTTGACTCTCAACTGCTCTCCTTTAACCAAACACATTCTTATCTCCAACATTTGTAGCATGAGTGATTCCATATGGCGTTGGATCCATGTAGGGCTCCGTGTAGCTACGTGGAGCTCCATGTAGAAGAAATGAACCACTTCCGGACAAATATCAACCAGCATGCTTGTAACCTACCACTTGTGGTTCATCCATATATTGCAAACATCCGTATGAATCTTTTCCTCTTAATATTTTGAAGCCATCCTTCCTTGGTATTGATTTTGAATTCAAGCATTGATCTCAAAAGAAAGTGAAAGAAAGGAGGAAAGGGAAGGTATCTTCACTGCAATCATGGCTATATATCAAGTCCTAACGCACCAGAGTTTATTGAAGTTCTATGATCTGTAGTCTATGGAGACTTCGTTCAATATTTTTAAGAAATGGCAAGAAATACACAAATCACTGTTTCTAAATGATTGGAAGGTTTGATACTCACCATTCACTTCACAATCAGACCCCATGCGAAACCACAAGCAACATTTGGGCACATACCCTAGCAATAATGCATCATGCAAGTCACCCTGCCTGACGTTACCTCTGGCATATTATTTTCTGACGAGCTCACCGTCAATTTGTACATGTTAATTTTGCGACAGGTCATGTCAATTTCTGCCACTTGCTTCCAAATGTTGCCTGAATATGTGGCCATGGAATTTTTTCTTGAAACTGGGTGCTTGGCAGACGTTGGTTGGTATCTGGCCGTTCCTGCAATTTTAAATATTTATTTTTGTATTTTAAAAATATTTTGAAGAAAATTTAAATTTTCTGTGTTTTTATTTAAAAATAAATTTTAAAAAATAAAAAAAATACTATTTCAATATATTTTTAAATAAAAATTAATTATATTTAGTTAAAAGTACAATTAGTGATACAGTCATAAAATTACCAAAAAGAATATCAATTATCTTGATTTTTTACATAAAATTTAGCAGTTATAATTAAGAAGATTTTTTTTTATAATTAGAATGAGATACAATTAATAAAATATAAAAATGAGATATTATTGTTATTATAAAGTATCTATATATGTAATTAGGCAATAAAAATAAGAGGGAATAATGATTATTTACCATTATACTAATACAAATCAATTTGCAAAAGCTAGAGAACCTAAATAATAATGATTATTGACAGTTTTTTGAAGTGGGGCTCGCATGCATGGCTGAAGTATCTAGCCTTAGGGTTTGATCTTAAAAACTAATGGCTTTAGCTGCCGGTGCATACAGATCTGTCTACTGGCTTCATCTTTTCACTGATCTTGGTCCTTAGGTCCTTGACGAACCGAGCCATACTTTTCTCTGACGACCCATTGCATGACAAAGCATTTTCTAATGTTTTCTTCATCTCCTTGATTGTGTTCCTGAATCCGTCCTCTGATTTTCCACTCATCAAACGTTTGACCTTGTAAGAAACTTCCTCTTTAGTGACAAACTTTCCATCACTCAAATTAATCCCTATCTTCCAGTCATCAACCACTAATTTCCTATTTGTGAATTGATCTGTCTGCAAAGGAAGACTCAGTAGTGGAACCTGGCACCATATACTTTCTAGTACAGAGTTCCATCCACAATGTGTTAAGAACCCTCCGATCGCTGGGTGGGCCAACACTGCTCTTTGACTGCACCAAGGTATGATCATTGCACGGTCCGCAACCTCTTCCTCAAACCCACCAGGCAGGGGATCAGCGTCATCGGAGCTCACAATATCAGGCCGAAGCACCCAAACAAAACTCACTTTGCTAAGGGAAAGCCCTTTTGCAATCTCTACGAGGTCCCTTTTTGCAACATGTGCGAAGCTACCAAATGAAACATACAAGACTGAGCCATGAGGCTTTTTGTCAAGCCACTGGGTGCAATCGGACTCGGACCACAGGCTGGTGGCCACGGAGCTCTCGGTGAAGCCATTAGGAAAAATGGGTCCAATTGCATAGCAGGGCATCTTGGCTTGCAAGGCTGACAAAGTCTCGACCTCAAGTTCTTGCACAGTGTTGCATAAAAGAAAATCTGCATTTCGAGCGTCGTTGAAGGCCTTGAAAATAAGTTGATGGATAGTGGATGTTGTATCTGTCTCTTGAAGATATGATACCATGTCCTTCGGTTCTATTGCCTTAACTCCTGGTATGTAATCTATGGTGTCCTCTCGGCAATCTAGCCACAAGATTTACCAAAAATTGATCATATACCACCATGAAGTTTTTTAAAATATCAACATTTTTTTAATAAACTAGATTAATGCTAATTTTACCGAAAGTATATTGCTGAATTCAGTTTTCAAGAAGCTCCAACAATTAGATTTACGATATTTACTCAATCAATTCGGGAAGGGGAAGAACATGCAGTAAAATTAGCATTAATCCAGAATTAATGCAAAAGACAACTCAATCTACCAAGAACTTGAAACAATACTATAGCATGATTAAACATGGACATCAACAAGTTACCTTGACAAGCAAAATGACCATTTCTCATTAGAAGATCCATATGATAATACAAGGAAAACACCAAAGCCGGTTCTGTCCAGAAGGAAACATATAGCAAACCAAATTTCTTTGCAATCTTTGATGGCCATACAAAGAATGTATCGGCAATCAAGCATCGAATACTGTCATCAGACTTTACAATCTGACCCACCACCTCATCCACATGGGCCGATAACACATGCAATAGGGCTGCTGTGAATTGGTCATGGTTCAACGACCGGTCGAACCCAATAGGAAGCCCATCGGAGACAGTTGTATACCGAATATCGAGGCCTGATTCTCTGACCTTGGCGAAGATGTCTGGTTCACTACTGGGCTGAGCATTGGAGATTTGGTGATGGATGGCCTGGGTGTTGATGAAGGTGATGGTGAAGCCTCGAGATGCAAGCTTGATGGCAAGGTGAACTGCTGGGATGACATGGCCTTGAAGAGGAAAGGGTATGAAGATGACATGGGGTTTCTTGAGCGTCTCTACCATAGTACTATGAGGGTTTTGTTGCAAGGAGGAAGAGGGGGGAGGTGGGAGGGTTTGTTACAAGAAGAGAGAGATGGAGATTTTGGCGTTCCTTTATTCTCCCCTCCTTCTTTCTTTGCAAATTAAAACAACAGTCTCTCCCTTTTATTTTGACACAAAACTAAGTTCTATCATTACAAATTTCAGCCACCCAATATTATATAGTGTCAACATCATTTTCTTGATATAATTTTCTCTAAATACTTTATACACCAAGTTATTGTTTTAAGTTAATGTATTATTGTATTTTAATATTTATAGTATAGTTCACTTATATATTTTAGTGTTTTACAATTTTTTCGTAGATAATTAAACTTTGATCTATATTTTAGGGTTTGTTTGTGATTTGAAAAAATATGAATTTGTTAGTAATTTTGTGTAATTAATTTTGATTTTATAACTGGTGTTATATTAAAATAAATTATGGGTTATTTGATGAGTAACAATTATATTTTGTCAATTTTATTATGAAGTAGAGAATTTTGGAGAATTTTTTTTTATGGAATTAATAGTAATTGAATGATATTAATTTAGATTGAATAATTTTAAATTGAACAAATGACATAATTAGTTGGGTTAACAATAACTTACCATTAATTGGATTACATCTTTATGTTTTTTTGTGTAAAAATAATATTTGATTATTAGACTATGAATTAATTTTTTAGTACTAAAGTTAAATTTTGAATTGATTGTTACCTTATTAATAAATGATGTTAGAATTAATCTATATTAGTTTTCTATATAATAAATAATCATTCGTGGATGTATCTATATTCACTTCAAGGGTTATATAGGAAAGATTATTCTAGAAAGGTTGAGGGTTTTATTGATTTTTCAGTTTCAAATCTGAAGAATATCGATGAAGGAAAAATTAGATATCTATATGTGAAGTGTAAAATAAAAAGTTTCTACAATCAGATGTTGTGATAATGCATCTTTTTAAAAAAAGGTTAATTGAGAAATACTTGTGTTGATTTGCATATGAAGAACTCTATACTCCTTACAAGACCATGATAGAAAGGATTGTTGGCTCAACATCTGGTTCTAACAATATGTATAAAGTTGTTGATAAAAATAGTAGTCATTATAGAAGTATGATGATGGATGTGATGAGAACAAATCATAATTATTTATGTGAAAGTTCATCTATAGATGAAGAACCTCATGTTGATATAACTAAGTCTTTTCTTATCTTTTAAAAGATTTTGATAACCATTATAGAATGAGTGCACAAATCATAGTAAATTATTGGTCATTACATGAGTGTTTACCATAAAGTCAGATTATGGTATGGGTGAAGTCAATTATGATAGTACAGTCGAATAAGAAAAAAAATATTTTACCTGAAGGGAATATACTAAAAGAGAACTTGTATGCTATAAAATCTATGATAAAACCTCTTAGTTTGGGATACCAAAAAATTAATATGTGTCTAAATTTTTGTATATTGTACTACAATGAAGATGCAAATTTAGTCGAGTGCAAAACTTATGGGCATACTTGGTATAAACCTAATATAGATCAAGGAATGACATTTATGGCATATAAAAAACTAAAATACTTTCTAATCATTCCTAGGTTGCAAATGTTATTTATGTCTTTAAAGAAAGCCAAACACATGATATGACAACATTCTCATGACACGGAGGATGAAATAATAGTACATCCTTCTGATGGTGAAGTAGTTTAATAGGGTGCATTCTTAGTTTTCAATGGAACTACATAACGTGCATCTTAGTTTGTGTACAAATAGATTTAATCCATTTAGGTAATTTGATGCACCCTATTCATATTGGTTGGTCATACTAATAGTTTATTAATTTTCCTCGGTGTGTGTATAAGATTGAAATTCATATTTTTATCTATAGTAATACTTGTTCTTTACAATCTAGGTAGGAATATAGATGTTTGTCTTCAACTGTTGATTAATTAGTTGAAACAATTATGGTTTATTCAGGGATTTGATATATGATGTCTTAAGGAAACATAATCTTCAAATGAAAATAACTTTAATGTGGACTATAAATGATTTTTTTACATATAGAATGGTCTTGGGATGAAGCATACATGAAAAATTAGCATGTCCATATTGTATAAAAAACAATAAGGTCTTCACCTAAATAAATAGTGGTAAATATTCTCATTTTTTATTGTCACCAAAGGTTTTTTCCAAGTCATTATCAATACAAAAACAAAAACAAAAAAAAGGACTTTTTGAAAGATAAAGTTTAAAGGGATGTTGCACACCAATACTATCGAGTAAAAAATTATACGATGTGGTGTCGCAATATGAGAACATTGTATTTGATTTTTAATTTGGTAAGCAAAAGTTTTTTTTGTTTTGATATGACTCATAATTACATAAAGTGAAGTCTTTTTTAGGAGCTTATTTATTAGAAGACTAATGTCTTTTGCCATAATTTAGATGTCATATATATTGAGAAGAACGTGTTTGAAAATATTTTTAACACGATCATGGATATAAAAAAAAAAAGATAACATAAAAGCTAGAATGGATATAACTTTATTTTGTGAGCATCAGAATATGAAGTTGTTTAATGATAAGGTACATATCGCAAAGCTCAAAGCCACTTATGCCTTAGATGAAAAAAATCACAATTTATTATGTATAAATAACTTAATAGTCTGTGATTTCTTGATTAATATGCTTCAAACATAGCTAGATTGGTGAATTTAAAGAAATGCAAATTATATGTAATGAAGTGTCATGATTGTTATATGTATATACAAATAATCATTCTAATTGCATATAAAGATTTACTATCAAAAGAGATATAAGGTGTACTGAAAAAGTTAATTATCTTTTTAGAGATGTTTGCTAGAACAAGTTGTGTTCACAACACCTGGAACAACTTGAAAGGAACATCGTTGAGATAATCTATATAGTTGATGTGATTTTCCCTCCCTTCTTCTTCAATCCAATTAAGTATTTACATATACATTTAGTATATGAAGCAAAATTTAAAAGGCTTGTACAATGCATATAATATAATGTATTATTTCAAGATGTTAGGATAAATACCATTTTGTTTAAAGTAAATGATCAAAATTTTCATCGAAGAATTATAGATAAATATTATTTGGTTTGGTGCACACTGATAGAAATTTCATCGGTAAATTATCAACCTTTGTATCAAAGAATCAAGGAGAGTTATTAACTTTTCAATCCATACTAATAAGATTTTTTGATAAATGATCACCATTTTTCTTGGAGAATTATAAAGAATTGTAACTGTTTCAATATACAACCCTATTGAATTAGCAACAAAATATGTTGTTATTGATTATATCAGTAAACATGTTGGTAAGATAGATATATTGCTAATGGATGTATCCGTCATAAATCTATTAATTATATTCACTAATGAATTTGACAACATATATTTGTCGGCCCTTTTTTTAAGGATCGACAATAATATGCAATCACTATATCCATTGATATAAAAATCATTGACAAATTTAACATCAGTGATGGCATGTTTTCTAGTGACATGTCTCCATCGGTGACTTTTATATCGACAGAATTAGTGTGTTTACAGTAATGTAATATTATGTTAGTGTTTTGCTATTTTCTAGTTGTATTTGACTTTGATATTTAGATCCTTAATGTTATTTAATAATTGATTAAGACTTTGAAATAATTTTTTGTTTTCCTTTTTGCAACAAATTGATGAAGAAAAACTAAAAATGTCTTTAATATATAAATCATGATAGATAGTTTAACTCATGAAAAAATGATGTTAAAGGAACCAAAAATCATAAATTATTTTCTATTTTATTAAAAAAATTCAACTTGTCACCAAAAAATCAAATCACATTTCGGTTTGAATTTGATTTTTATTTTTGGAGGTTCAGTGAATTAAAAAAATACATTAAATCTATCAAAATCAAAACTAAATAACCGAATACTCACCTCCTGGATATAGAGAAAGATTATTTTCCATTGAGATTGGTATAGAGGAAATTATATTCTCATGCATAAATTCTGTATCGAGATGGGAACATGATCCTCTTACTCAATCAACCTTCATAACAAAATACATTAATTCATAATAAATTTACTTATTCAACTACATATAACTACATGTATGTCAAGACTTAGTTAGATCCTATTTTTTTTCCCATCATTTTCACTTCTCAGCCCAGTATAATATAAATCATACTTTGAATATTCACTTAATAATTCTTTAATATAATATTAAAATTTTAATAACTAAATAATCATAATTTTTATTTTTTTTTATTTTTTTTACTGTATAGGTTTTTGTTATTATCTTATGATTACATGAAAAACAAATTTTAAGAAGTTTTAGTCAATTATTTTTATATTTTTAACGTGTTCACGACATTATCATAAAAATATTATTTATTGTTATTGAAATTTGCATTTATGATTTGCTAATTGTTTTTCTTCAAAAAATTATTTTGATGAAAAAATTTCCAAAAAATGAAGCAAATTAATAGGATATAGAGGTTTTTATCCATATTTTGGATCTTCCAGTGTTTTGGATTTTTATTTTAATCACCTTTGGTTTTTATTAAATGAACTACATTCATAAAATTAAAAAAAGAAAAGAAAAGGAAAGTTAGATCAATAAGAAGAATATTGGTGAAAATTAGATCAAACGATTTCACTGTTTACCATAAGAAACCCTAGTTTTTTTGGTTTTTTTTTTAGAGCTGGAGGTAATTCTTGGTGTACTATTTCTACAATTGTGGGAAAGTTTGGATTTTTCTATGGCTGTTATTGCACAATGAGATTATTTATTGGTTAGAAAACTTTTTAGCGGGCAATGGGCTAAGACAGCGTCCCCTGCTCCCAGGGGTCAGTGTTTTTCAAGGACAAGTCAGGGTTTGCGTCCCGAGGAACTATATTATAAGATGTTGGATGACCGGGTGCTTTCCAAGCTCCAGGGGAGATGTTTCTAGGGAGAATACGAGCTTGAGTTTGGTATCATGATGTCTGATTTGTAATCTGGCTGTTCCCTGTCTTTCTTTAGGGTTTTTCCTGCTTTGTTGCCGAGTGTTTCATCATGGAGCTGCTGCGGACCGATAAGAAACACTTTCAAGATTGAGATTCAAGTAACTTAAGAAGCAAGGTTCCATATAATAAGCAATTCCTCAAGTGCATACACATATAACAAAGGCACGGGCAAGGGGATCGGGATCCCATTGGCATCACCTCTAACCTATATAAGTATCTTCTTGGTAAACAACCAAGTCTACTAGTGCGCCAATCGTAATCAAGGAAAACAAATATACTCCCTGGTAATGAGCACAAAGGATAAGATGATCATTGGCTCAAAACAATAACCAAGCCGTGCACCTCACCAGTCCTCCTCTACAAGCCTACATCACGATTCTGCCTGGGATGTGTCGTCATCCAGAAAACCCAACATTGCGAATATGCAGCTGTTGGGACAGACAAAGTGATGCAAGCTTTAATCAGACAAACCGGCCTTCATCTTGAGGTGCTTCTTGAAGTCCATAATGTCACCCTCCCACCGGGTAACAGCTTGATTTTCGCATACCCAAATCTCCTCTGCTACCTGATTTATGAGCCTGAAATCATGGCTAACAAGAACAAGACCCCCATCCCACTCATTCAATGCCTCAGCCAGAGAGTCAATCGTCTCGATATCCAAATGGTTTGTTGGCTCATCCAGCAGTAGCAAGTGGGGCTGCCTATACGCCAGCCAAGCAAATATCACCCTGCTCCTCTGCCCATCTGACAAGTTCTTCATGGGCATCACCTGGGCCTTGCCTGTCAACCCAAACTTCCCAATAGCTGCCCTCATTCTTTCCTCCTCATTCCCTGGATACTCTTTAATCATATACTGGAGGGCAGACATTTCCAAGTCAAGCTTCTCAGCCAAGTGCTGGTGAAATTGTGCAATCCTCAAGTGATTGTGCCGCCGAACCATACCATCTAAAGGAACCAAATCACCAGTCATAAGCTTCAGTAGGGTACTCTTCCCAGCACCATTTGGCCCAACCAGCGCAATCCTAGAGTCCAGATCAACACCAAAGTCAATACTCTTATAGATGAGATTATCAGGTGTGTAGCCAAAGGTTACTTCCACAAACTGAAGCACCGGTGGTGGGAGCTTTCCAACATTGACAAAGCGAAAGACCAGAATCTTGTCTCTTGCAACCTTTTCTGTAAGTCCACCCCGCTCCATTTTTGCAAGAGTTTTCTCCTTGCTCTGTGCCTGGCGAGCTAATTTTGCTGACCCATGCCCAAATCGGGCGATATACTCCTTCATGGAAGCAATTTGATCCTGCTCCCACTTGTATTGTTTCATCTGATTTTCTTCCAGTTCAGAACGGGTCTGAACATACTGATCAAAGTTACCAGTGTAGATTTTCAATTTCTTGTTTTGCATATGGATAATGTTTGTGCAGACACCATTCAAGAAATCCTGGGAATGTGAGATCACAACTAGAATTCGGTCAAACTTCTTCAAAGTTTCCTCCAACCAGACACAGGCTTCTAGATCTGTCACAACAAAAGAATATAATCATTAACATCAAACCAACACTCCTCCCAAGTCATTCTTTTCTCCAATCTATGACTGAACTTCAAAGAGTTAAATACACTCATATACCAACCAACAAGAAAAAAAGACTTCAATAGATAATAATACCATCCAATAGTTATAGGGCCATAATTTTCAATATTTGATTTGGTAATAATACAAAAACTCAGAATAGTATAGTGGTTGCTACAAGCTAATAAACAAAGTCCCCATGCTAACGAGCATCTGCAGATGAGAACTCGAAAAAGGCTTTTTATTATCTTAGAACGGGGGAATTTTCTTCTTTTTTTAGTCAAGGCAAATAAATTACTTGAGTTTGGCCCTTGTACTCCATTTTTTAATCACAACAGAAGTCAAACTTAGAAGATCTCTAATAACCTGCATGGAACAAATTCAAGTGAATTGTTTAATTCAAATCAACTGGTAGAATTGAATTAAGATAAACATTCAAATATTTGTTGAAAATAAATTGTTGTTCAATTTGGTGTTCAAATTTCCTTCTTTTTTCGCTTTAGAGCTAGAAGCAAAGGGATAAAACTTGCAAAACAAAACACTAGTTTTCATGAATACATGACCACTGCATCCATCCAGCAGTAATCTACCCTTTTCAGCACAGTTATAAGACCCGGCCCACCCGCGGATCAATCCGCTGACCTAGAGCCTAGCCCATGTCGAGTTTTATTCCGAACTAGTCTTCTTTACTGGAACAACATTGTTTCAGGGTTTTTGCTGTTTTTTTTTTTAATGAAAAAACATAGCTTGAGTTGACTGGCCAATATGCGAGTCAACCTGCCCAACCCAATACCAGGCCTTTAGCAGGTTGTCTCCCGGGTTGGTTCTTATAACTATGGTTTTATGTGGAATCTTAAAAGGTGTTAACATGTAGAATTGAAGTTCTTAACAAATCCACCATTCCAAACACATTCTATTTCACATAAAATTGCAGTTAGCATGTAAGGAGAAGTGTCAGTGGTTAGGTAAAAATACAAACAAACTAATATATGATTAAAAATGTGTCAGCCGTTATAAAGCTTATGTTTTGGATGGGGTCCCAACTCAACTAAAAAATTTAATAGAATCGAATTGAAATAAAAAACACACCCAAATTTCCCAACAAGCAGTGACTGGTTCTGATTACGCTAGATATATATGTCAAACAATGGGTGATCTAGATGATCCATCACTAATTTAATACTATGTTTTGAAAGGGTAAAAAAAATTAAGAGCTTATGAAGACATGTGAAGTTTATGCTTAAAAGTTCCTAGAAGCGTCATTGAGAGACTCGTGAAAACCTTCCACAAGTCAGCATGAATTGAGGAATTTTTTCTTCTTTTTTCCCCCTTAAATTTGATGTGTTTTTTTGGCTTCTTATGATATAATGTGTTGAGGACTTCAAGAGTACCCATCCAATCTCATATTCAACAAAACAAGCCATAGCAGTCTTTTCTTATCTACAGTTTTGCTTCTTCTTCTTCTTTTTTCCATAACACATGGGACTGTTAGAAAACATTATGTGCAATAAGATTGCAAGTACAACTTACCAAGATGATTGGTTGGCTCATCAAGCAAGAGGATAGTTGGGTTCATGAACAAAGCCCGAGCTAATGCAATTCTCATTCTCCAGCCACCAGAAAAATCTCGAGTTTTCTTTTCTTGCATTTTCTTGTTAAACCCAAGACCATACAAAATTTCAGCAGCACGTTTCTCAGCAGTTGATGCATCCATGGCCTCCAAACGCTCATAAATACGATCAAGAGCTTCTCCACCTCCATCATCCTATCTTATATCCAAACCAAAAATAAATAATCAATTATAGATGGAAGTCACAAAAACATCCATCACGCACAAGCTCTGAAAAAAAAAAAACAATTTAGTCACAAGGATATACCTTTGCTGCCAAGACTTCGGCTTCCTTCTCCAATTTCAACCTCTCCTCATCACAGCTTATCACAGCCTCAAGTGAAGACATGTCAGAGGCTTCGATCTCCCTGGTGAGGTGATATATGTCCATGTGGTCTGGAATTGGAAGTTCCCGACACCCTATGGCAGCTAGGAGGGTTGATTTCCCACATCCATTTAAACCAAGTAATCCGTATCGTCTGAAGTGCAAAACAATGAACAGAAGAAAAAAAGAACAGAATGAATTTCATTTTCACAAAGAAGTACTATAATACCTGAATCAAATAGGTATGAGTATAAAACCTGCCATAGTTAAGCTCCAGCTCAGAATCTACAATGAGATCATGTCCATGAAAAGTAACTGACAACGACTCGATCTGCAAGGAACAGCTAAGTTGGTTAATTACTAATATCATTCCCATTGCACCAAGATCCCACTTTACAAAATAAGCAAAGAAAAGAAAACCCTTATCACTTGATATTACCTCTTCCAAAGAATCCCAGAAGGATGAGCTGAACAATTGCTTATATTCATTCAGAAATGAAAATTTTTAGTCTATACATTGTATGTTCACAGTTGTCAGAATGCCCTGGTGACAGGCCCAGCCGCTCGCCTAGGCACTTGTCTAGTAGTGGGTGCACCAAGCTAGCAACAATAAGCTAGTAGCGAGACTACTTTGTAACTTTTATATGATGTGTGAAAGACTAGAAATCATATAATATAAGTTGCAAGTGCGGTCCTAGATTATGTGAATTATTTCTAACTAAGCAAAAAATAGCCCAGATGAAAATGATTATCATCAAATTTCGACAGCATGTGATTAAAAACTCTTGGCATCTAAAAATCTAATGGAAATCAAATTAATTAATTAATTAAAAAATAAGAAAAACAAATCTATATTATTTGAAAACAAAATAAAGAAAGATCGAGAAACTTACTCGAATATCTCTGGAAAGAGGATGGGAACAGAGGACGCCTGTACAAGTCCGATCGGATACCTGAAGGGCTCCAACTCCATTCGACAACTTATCAACACCTTCATTCTGTGAATCAGACGCCGCCGTCGCCGCTACCGTTTTCGAGGAGGATGCTGCTGCTTTGCCACCTCGCTTGGCCGCCGCGGCCGCCTTCTTTTGAGCAGCCTTCTTTTTGCTGGCTTCCGAAACCATCTTTATATTAAACAATTAGACAGATCGGAGTAGGGGAGATGGAGGTATCTAGGGTTTGATGTAGCTTGACTGATGGTTGTACCGGTGGTGTGATATAACCCGTAAAGGAGGGTTACGCTGAGAGAGGGATTGAGAAATGTCGAGGATCAAGTATTTATAAGCCATTGGAGTGACACGTGTACGGATACAGTTAGCCAAACGGTGTGTGGTTTTTTTCAATAAAATTATTCTCAAATTTATAAATAAATAGCATTGTCCCCTGTCCGCATATGTTGACTCAAGCCCTCGGCTTATTACATCTTAGGAGATAATTACGAAAATACTGTAATAGTTTTTGTGTTATAATTTTAAAAAAATATTTAATAAAAAATATTTTTTTGTTAAGATTAATTTAGTATTTATATATATTTGGTTAAAACTATGATTGAAATTAAAATTAAACAAAAAATAATTTAATATATTTGATTATTAATGCTTTTAAATTAATTTAATGTATTTGATTATTAATTTAAATATTATATTGAGGTTATATATATACACGGTTTTAATTTAAATATTATAGATTTGATTATTGTTATTATATCATGAAATAATAATATTTTATATAAAATATTATGTATTATTTTATTAAATTATCTACAATTCCATAACATATGAAATATATTCGACAAGAACTATAGTTTTTTTGGTTTCTTAAGCATGCAACAACATCATGTAAAATATAATCAGGACTAAAACTGGAATTAAGATCTAATTCTATAAATATTATGTCATCAAGCGATCTCCGTCCAATTTATATAGTGTCATTGAATAATATTAAGCATTAGTTTTTTGAATAAAACACAATTAAAAAATAATAAAAATAATTTTTTTTAATAGGTCAAATTCGGTTCAATGCATTTTGAGCTTTAAACTAGACCCGATCTATCAGGAACAGTGAAGCATACCTCACTGTTCACGTGAATAGTAAAGTCATGCTTCACTGTTCAGTGAACTTCATCCTTATAAAGAAGTAGTAAGGAGTTGTTTTGTTTCCCCTGCATTTCAAACAGTGAGTCATGCTCCATTGTTCAATAAACTGTCTTTCTTTATTACCAAACATGTTGCATTTATGTTTTAAGTAAAATACAAATACAACCTCCTAAACAAATGCTACCTTATTTTATTTGAGAGAGTTTGTTGTCTTGGGGGAAAAAACACTAGTGAGGATCGGATTGTTATTTTCTTGAAAACAAAGTAGTAATGCAAAAATTATTGGATAAAAAATTACTTCATTAAACTAAACTTTGAAACTAAGCTATTGTTTATATAAATACATATATTTTGATTTTTTTAGGGGGTAGATAATTTTTTAATATTTTTATTAAACCTAAAAATATAATCGTTTTGAAAATAAAATTCTATCAAAATAAATTTTTTTTATTAACGTATTGTTTGTTTATTTTAGTATAATCACGGATGAGAAAAGTTATGTTAATGTAGTTAGTACTATTCTTGTAAAAATATTAAACATGCTTACTACAAAGCATATATATAAGTTGTAGTTATTGAATGATTGTGGAAAAGTAAAGGTAAATAAAACATATAAGGTGTTGGTCTCCTTTTTAATTGAGAGGTATAATAATGAGGTGTTTTGTGATGTTGTTCTTATGCATCCGAGTTGTATACTATTAGACAAATCATGAAAGTTTGATTGGAAGATTATTTATGATGGTTCAAGAACACTCATTTTTTTGTAAAAATTAATAACTAAAAATAAATTGATATTAAGAAAAGAGACTAAAGATGAGAGGAGTGAAAATAAAAAAATGATTGAGATGAGATAAAAAAAGAAAGGGGCACATGAGAAGAAATAAAAAAGGTTGTTAAGAGAAAAATAAAGGTGTTTATGAAATTTTTACGGAAAAAAACAATGTTAAGAGTTTTTTTATACTAACCATCCTATAGTTGTACTTTTGTATAAAGAGGCATACTTTAATACTAACTATTTTGGTCAATCTCTTTCTAGTGTTGTTTTTTTTTTATTACATGAATATAAAAATGGGTCCATGATAATGTTTTTTAGTGGTTTTCCACTTATCAATGAAATAAAATATCAAATTGATCTTATATATAAAGTTACAATTCCTAACTAACCAAATTATAAAACTAATTTAGAGGAGACAAATAAGCTTCAAATATAAGTTGAGGAGCTGATGGCTAAAGGATACTTGAGGGAGAGCATGAATCTATATATGGTACCGGTGCTTCTCGTGCTGAAAAATGATGGGTCTTAGAGCATGTGTATGGATTGATAAGGTGTTAATAACATTATGGTAGAGTATCAACATTTAATTCCTAAGCTAAATGATATGTTAGATGAATTACATGGTTCATGTATTTTTATGAAAATTAATGTAAGAAGTAGTTATCATTAAATTAAAATGAAAAAAGGTTATGAATGAAAAACTACTTTTATGACTAAACATTAGCTGTATGAATGATTAGTTATGTTATTTGGTTTACTAATACATTAAGCATATAGTGAGATTAATGAATCAAATATTACATGCATTTTATAGACAGGTTTATAGTAGTCTATTTTGATGATATCTTAGTTCATAGCAAAAACGTTTGATATTTTAAGAAATAAAAAATTATATGCTAACTTAAAAACATATACTTTTACATGAAATTGTTTCTACCTATATTGTTGGTGCAAAATGCATAGAAATAGTGAAGAAACTTCATGAGAGTGTTTGACAACAAATGAAAAAAAAAATGAACAATATGCATTTAAAGCCAACAAAGATAATAGATCTATTATCTTTAAACCTGATAATTGAGTTTGATTGCATATAAAAAAGAAAATATTTCTAGCCCATAGACAATCTAAGTTGCAGCTTAGAAGATATGATTATTCCAAGTTCATTAACAGATTAACAACAATGCATTCAAGTTGGAACTTTCAGATGAGTATAATATTAATGTTACATTTAATATTCCTGATCTTTCTTCTTTGATGTAGATCAATATTCGAGATTGAATCCTTTTTAGAAGAAAAGGAATGATAAAAATCAATAAACAATACCACATGATCCATTGCATGTACCAATTAAACAAATTACAAAGGCAAACCCAAGAGGATAGAAAAGGCCTTTAATGGGTTCATTCATGACATTTGAGTTGAGTAAGTTTCAAGAATTCTTTATAGGATGGTGTTAAGCACAAAATTGTTTTCAAAGAAAGATCAAGTTTTGATTAAGGTGATATAAGCAAGAGATGAGGTTGTTTAACATGTATAAGAGTTTAATTATATAATTTTATATTAATGGTCAAGCCTTTCAATTTGATTGTTGGATTATGCTAAAAGTTTGTTGGAAGATTTTAATAACTTTGTTTTCCATAAGGTTAAATTTTCATAGCAATCAGATATTGAGAAAACATTTCAATAAGATTCAAAAGTTACTATTTAGAAATACTTGGATTAGGCTTTTATTTATACATGACTTTAGCTTTGTGTTTTATTTTACTCATACTTTTAATTTAGTTAGTTATTTGGATTTGATTTTCAATCTATAGTTAATTACAATTTATTTTTGTTTAAGTCAAACATATAAATATTGTTTATTTTTTGGATGTGAAAACATATTGGATTTTGAATTAAAAATTGTGTGAACACTTTTGCTTTTAATTTTTCATTGAATTTTTTTCAGAACTAGTTAAAGAGATCATCTATGTGGTGTTCTAACCATATACTTCTAGCTCTTAATTCAAATAATCAACAAGTTATGGTTTTTTAATTTGGTTTCAGATTTATTGGGTAAGTATATAAATATTTTATTATAGGTTTTAGAGTTTTGTCCTTCAAGTTCACATCATTAGATTAATCTATTATGCTATCATCTTAATATTAAAAAATATCATCTTAAATTTATATTAAAAGTTAAACCATATTTTTTACTAGTGGTTTAAGTTGTCTTTAGATCCACTAAGTCTATTGTGTCATGTTGAAATAACTTTCACACAGATTAATTTTAAACTTGGGTTATGGAAGGAGTTAGGTTAGGAGATCTCAATGTTAGCATGTTGAGTTGAGTTTAATAAATACTACATAGTTTCACGTGGTCTAAACTTTTTTTATATTAAAAATAAATTTAATTCAACCCATAGCATAACACAAGTCATAAATTAGCAAAGTGTAAACAACTATTGTCCAGATCAATTAGTCAACTCAAAATAAATGAGATAAACAAGCTCAATAGAAAAACATAAAAAAAGTGAAATTTGTTAAATGCTTTTAACCTACTTTATATAAACTAGCTTGTTTCAAAACTTTTAAGGCTACTGTATTCATCTTTTTTAGGGTGAATTTGTTTTTGTGAAAAATATTTTATATATATAATATTTGATAAATAATAATGTAAAATAATAATAATAATAATAAAATAATGATGATGATATTTTATAATAATAAGCAAACAAAGTTTGTGATAGCTGTGATGATGGAAAGTGAGGGTGGATGTGGTAGTGGAATAGTAACAATAATAAAGGTGTTGATGGAGTGATTGGAAGGTGGAAATCATAGTTTGAAAATCTTACTGGAGGGTTAACCATGAAATTGTCTAGGGTGAAGGGTTTACCTTGAAATAAAAAAAGTAATGGTTCTTTTAAATTAGATTTTATTCGGGTCAATCAATTCATGAGTTAACTTTTATTTTTTAATCGAATTAAGTTAACTTTTATTTTTTAATCGAGTCAAGTTAAGTCAATTTAGTCATTTATTTTTTTAAATCTAAACTAGTTGAGCCTCAAGTTGACCTACTAAATCGGTTTAATTTTTAAAATTATGGTGGAAATCATGTGGTAATAACAATGAGATCGGTGATGAAAAATATAGTGGTGCAGATCATGATTGAATTGATAATGATAGGGTTTAATTGGTAATAATAGAGGGATAGATGTTTAAAGTTGTTGGAAGATATAATAATTGAATTAAAATTTATAAAATATTTTATAGAATTTCATAAGTTATAAATATATTTTTAATAAATAAATTAAGTTTATAAATTGATAATAAGACATTTTATATTAATAGGTTTTTCTATAAAATATTATACTAAAAATAAATACATAAAAAAATAAAAACACCTTTATGTAAAACAGATATCTCCTCCAAAAATGAATAAAAAGAAAAGAGCATACAAAAAACTGAACCTGTAGTCTCTTACACATCCGAGAATTCTCTAATCTAATTGTTCGTCACTTACCGACCATGTCTTGCTCACAATAACAACTCCAGCTGCCATCTTCGATTAACATCACCACCATCCTCCGCCCACTCTCTCAACTGCAGCTAACAGAGAAAGCCGAAACGCGTCGTTCGCCACTACATGCGCCGCTTAAATCAACCTCACCCAGATCCCTCTCCAGAAACATAGTTGTTGTATGTACATAAAGGCCGTGTTTGTTTCTCGGAAAACAGTTTCTGAAAAATTACTTTTCAAATTTTTCTGTGTTTGTTTGTCATTAGAAAAATTGGTCAACGGAAAACATTTTCCGGTCAACGGAAAACACTTTCTGGTTAACGAAAATATTTTTTAGTCAAAAAAATTGGTTTGGTTTTTAGGAAAGTGTTTTCCTTTTTAGCTGTATTTGTTTTCTGGAAAGTGGTTTCTGGGAAAACACTTTCTAAACTTTCTTGTATTTGTTTTTCAGAAAGTGGTTTTTGGGAAATCACTTTTCAAACTTTCTTGTGTTTGTTTGTTGTTAGGAAAGTTGGTAAATGGAAAACATTTTCCAGTCAAAAGAAAATTTGGCTTGATTTTCAGGAAAGTGTTTTCCTGAAAAATTTAGGAGGAAAACACTTTCCGGAAGTTGTGAAAAATTTAGAAATGTCATTATTTTGTTGATTATATCAAATTTGATCCTCAAACTTTTGATTGCTATATATATTTTGTTTTTAATATTTATTTTTCAATTTTATTTCTTAAAATTTAATTTTTATATCAACTTTGGTCCTCATTTTTATAATTGTTATTTGCTTTTCTCCTATTATTTTTTTATTGAAATTTTTTTCTATCAAATTTGATCCTCATTCTTTTGATTGTTATTTATTTTATTTGAAATACTTTATGAAATGTTAATTATTATTATTTTAATTTCTTCATCTTTTTTTTTAGATTTGATCTTTATTATTTTGATTATTATTTATTTTATTTGAGATAATTTATGAAATTATTTTTTTTCAATTTCATTATTATTCAACTTTTTAATTTGTAAGATTTATTTCTTATTATTTTAATAAACTTGAGAAAAATAAAATATTAATAAATTATTTTTCAGTTTATTTTCCATAACATAACCAAACACTGGAAAGTGTTTTCCAGTTCATTTTCCATAACACTACCAAACATCGGAAAATACTTTACTTTTCAGGAATTTATTTTTCTAGGAATTCACTTTTCTAGAATTCACTTTACAAAAAGAAACAACTTTCCTACAAACAAACGGAGCCAAAGTTTAAAATGCTTCTATATTCCTTCTTGATATGAGCAAACCCTTTCTCATATCCATTCTAATAATAGTAAAAAAAGTAGTATAATTTCTGATTATATGTTTTCAAATCAAATAAAATAATTTATTTATAAATGATCAAACTTATTGAATTCTTCTGGTTTACAAAATATTTAAAACATATTTTTTAGATTAAAAAAATTGTATAAATAATTATGTAATTATTAAACTGGGCTTGGTTATTAGCTCAGGATAATATTTGTTTGAATAAAAAATTGAGTGGGTTTCTATATTTATTTAAGATAATAGTAAAAATTTATTGAGAAGTAGATTATAAATTAATCCTAGTTTTTTATATTTATTTAAGATAATAAATAAATATTATCCTATTTAGCTAGGATAATATTTGTTTGAATAAAAAATTGAGTGGGTTCTATATTTATTTAAGATAATAGTCAAAATTTATTGAGAACTAGATTATAAATTAATCCTAGTTTTTTAATTAAATTATATGTAATTAACTTCTTTTATTTATTGTAAAACATATATATGTGTTTTGAAGTGTGGTTGTGGTTATTTTTTAAAGTGTTTTCTATTTATAAAAATATGTTAATAATATTTTTTTATTTGTTTAAAATTATTTTTGAGATGAGTATATCAAAATAATTTAAAAATATTAAAAATATATTAATTTAAAATAAAAAATTTAATTTTTTTTTAAACACACCCAAACAGCATACTGGTTTTAATAACAATGAATAATAAGTCACACGTTTATGAAGAAAACTAGTTTTAGAAAAACGCTAAGACCCCAAAAACAGCCGAACTTGAAAGCCTATCCAACTGAAGCGGATCAGGCCCAAAGAAGAGAACCCACTGCTTTGCTATGCTCTTCCTCTCGCTTCCCTCTCTCCTCTGCAAGTGCAACCTTAAATAAAGCAGAAGACACGGTCTGTCCTGTTTCCAACCGTATTTACAATTAGAGTTTTAGGATAAGAGAGATTCTGGGTATTGGGCTTAGTTCTAAACGGTGAAGCACCTATCCATTGGTGGGCAGACGGCTGGCTGACAACTTGAGGTATGCTAATAATTTGCCCATGTTCTTAGATGTATTAATAAAAAAAATCTTGACTTGTTAATTTTGATGTTAAAAACTGCTACTTTCCTTGTTTGTTATTAAAGCAGTGTTAGTTACATTTTGATTTTTGTTTTGTTCAAATATAGCATATTAATGTTCCGTTGAGCCCGCCAGTTAGAAATATATAGTAGCCAAAGAGTTTTGTTATAATTTGGATACAAAAATTCATGGGGTTCTTGCAAGTGCAGGCCCAGTTTATGTTCCACTTAGAAAGGGCATTGATAATTGGTTAAATGATGCTTAATTTGACATCGGTTCAAGGTGTTGCTTTTCATTGCTCTTAGTTTGCTTTCCTGCTCTCTAAAATAATTACTTTTATTTATTTTTTTACTTGTTTTGACGGATATTTTCCTTAGTTTTCATCTGGAATTAAGGTAGCTATTCCCAAAATAAGATTTTCTAATTAGATCCCGAGTTAGAGATCAGTTCATGCTCCTCTTATGTAATATGTTGTTTTTTCTATGATGCTTCACTGTCTCCATTCTTGAGGGGCGAAAAATGTTGAAGGTTGATTTGAGATAACTTGGTCCGTATGGAGGGGAAGTTGGTACGGGTTATGTTCTTTTCTAGCCTATCTGAACATAGGACTTCATTTGTTAGTTTTGGTTTTGGACATCAATTTTGTCAGGTGATTATTATCGGAAGACTTAATTTTGTTAGTATGAAAAGCATTTCTTCCATTGCTTTACAAGACTCCTCTCAATCTCCCATATTCCTTGAGAAACTTATGTGATACATAGCATATCAGGATCCATGACAGTTCTCAGGTTCTCAAAGATACTTAGATATCCTATATCAATGTCTGTCAAGAAGCCTGGCAAATTTCCGATTACTCCTTTCCTCATTCTGATAACTTGGAGGAATTGATTCAATTGGAAAATACACTTTGTTGCTCCTTCTTTCTGGCTTCCAGTGATATTGTTTGTTTCTCCTGCCTCTGCATTATGATTTCTCATTTTTTTTATCTGACAACAAATTCTGAATCTAAATGCGCTTTTGCCACTGTGAAAAGTCTAGATGTACAGAGTTGGAAAACTTGTCAAATTATCTAATTAATCTGAGTTTCAAGCTTCATGTCTTTCCGTCTTATGTAGCCAAGCTATATCTCATACAGTTGTAATTTATTACCAGGACCGAGTATTTTTGGTACATGTACGCTTTGTTTGCTTGTTGTAATTGCATTCAATGACTATTTGCCTCTGGAATGGATATTTTCTTTGAAGTCTGACTTCAATCCTGTCCTGATCGTGAAGGTCAACAGTTGAATAGTGCATAAACAGGAAAAAAAAGTGACATTGCATGAATTTTGCACAAGTTATATCACCTACTTGCATCATTCATGCCATCTACATGTCTTGTTTGTCGCAACTCAATAATACTGAGTTTTTGACCATTAAGGAGCTTCATAATTAAGAACTACATATTGCAGAAGATGCATTGAAGTTTCTCTTGTGCTTAATGCATGCTTAATGTATGAAGGGAAGCCTGCTGCTACAATACTCAATGCACTATATAGCTGTGGATAACAATCATAGAAATCCACTAAAAGCCACCTTAGTTCTTTATCTTCTGTTTATTGGCATGGTCTATAGGCTGCCACTTGTAGTTAGCATGTTCGTGCTTGAGCGTTTCTTTGTCTGGCATTTAATGTTTTCTTTTTGTTTGGATTTCTTAGAAATGTCTGTTGCCTTTCCAGTAGGAGCATAAAACAGATTTTTTATAATTACCACAATTAAATTAGCAATTATATAACTCTGCTATTGGTATGTTATTTACTCTTATCTGGCAGAGAAAGTCGAGCTCTAAAACTGGAAAGTGAATTTGTAAGATAGTAGGAATACAAATTTCTGCTTGTTGGCGGGGCTGAAGAAATAGACAAAGTTCTGCAAAAACAATACCCATATAGAAGAGGTGTTAAACGGCTCAAGTTAAAATTGTGTTCCTCTACCTCCCTCCAAATCAAGTTTGAGATCTAAGAAAATGTTGTAAGTTTTTTCCAGGGGCTGAAATAAGAATACTAGTGGTAGTGTAGCTTAGTAAGGCTAAGGCTTAGCTTCTGTGATGATATGGGCTGTGTTTGGTCGTCTCTATGTCAATTGACAATTAATTTTCCAAAGCTTATCAAGTCTTTTTGCTGTTAACCAAAATGTCAGGATAGTCAAAGAATGACGCTCGTGAAGAGATATGTCCTTAGGCTGTTTATATCATTGAAATACATCACAGCAAATGTTGTAGACAGAAACAATGGGAGAATTGTTGCAACAGCATCAACGGTTGAACATTCCATCAAGAACACCCTTGAGTGTGGTCGATCTTGCAACGCAAAATCAGCTACAGTTGTTGGAGAGGTGTTGGCAATGCGACTCAAGGTGGAGGGTCTAGAACAGGGACAAGGAAGAGGGATTCATGTTGATATGGAGAAAGAGGTTGAGAAAAAAGGCTACAAGAACCGCACCAAGATTTGGGCCGTTGTTAATGCCCTAAAAAACAATGGAGTAAAAATAATTCTTGATGAGGATAATGCGAACACATCCCGTCCGGATTTCCGATGAATAACCTTTCCAATTTCTAGTGTTCTGTTTTGTATTGTTGAGCGTGGAAGATAGTTTGCATGCATTTTACAAGGGAAACAACAGAAATGGCTGCTGAGAAATACATGACAATAACGCTTATGAATTCAAATAAAAATGTGTTGATCTTTAGCCATGTATTCCCGTTGCAAAGGGCAAACATTGATGTTCAGAAAATGAGGCTTCACCTGAAAGAATGGAGGGATGCTAATTGGGCAACAAATATTTCAAAAGGTTTTTCTCCATGTTTTCTGGTCCCCCTTCATCTGGCGTCCATGGAGCTACAAGATGGTTGCCTTCCAACTACAGGGTCATCGATAGAATCTAAGCCCAAAGTACAGGATATATTGGGACTTAAAGTATCCACACTCACACTCTTTATTTTTTTAGTTAAAGTAGCTAGAAAGTCATTTAAGCTTGATCTCGAGCAAATGCCATCACATTCATGCTCTTTGAGTGCGTTCACCAATCCTCTTATCACCAAATTCTTGTACAGATTTTGAAGGTCACAGCTTCATCTTGCTTATTTCTTAAAACGTACAATGAAATAAATAAGAACAGGGCACAAGAGATTTATTGTGGAGCCAAAATGAAATTAAATAAGTAGTGGAATTACATGGAATTAATAATGTTTCATTGCCATGCATACCCTATCAAGTTATCGTCAACAACACTTGTGTAGAGGGGGGGTTCGCCTTTCATAATTATGTCTGCTCGCCATCCACATTGAAGGAGGAATTCTTGCCCCAGGGTCTCTATCAACTAAATATCACCTTAGGACTTTTTCTATAAAGTGATTATCAACTTTGAAAATTTACCTTTCAATAAAGACCCGTAATTCATTGTTTCGCTTTTCCTCTACTCATAGCACTAAAACCTCCTATGCAGGGCTGAATAAAAAATAAAATTAAAAAGATTTTTTATTATACATTATTATTTATTATTGTGTTTGAGATTTAGCAGATCCTTAACCTCATCCAACTCTTTTATTCAGTCCCATATTCACAATAATGACTTTTTGAAAAACTTTAATAAATATTAATTTATTTTATTTTATTTTGTCATTTGATCATGAAATCTAAATATTCCCAGATAAATTGTCACGTTCTGGGGATGTTTGATTTTTTTTTAAAGTATTTTCATGAAATTATAATGTATAATTCTAACATGGTAAACTTGCCTAAGTTAGGAAGTTCAAACGAAATAATTAGGATTTTGCCTCTAAATTGGAAATTAAGCCCAAGAAAATCCCATACAGCAATATCGACTCAAGAATCCAAGTTGTTTCATCTCCGTGCAAAAATTATGATTTCAGACAGTCTTCATTCAACATTTTGACGTACCATGAAGTCTGTGCCTTGTTTCTAACAATCATTACAAATAATAATAATAAAAAAAAAACAAGAAGAAGAAAAGAAAAGAAGTATGCATAGCATTATGGGTCTCACTCACACAACTAGTGTTATTATAGCAATCACAATACTTGTGTTTTGTATACATGTACCCATGTAATATTCAGATAACTTTTGTTTATATATATATATATTTGCCTTGAAAAATATTATTTTTAATGATTTTTGATAATTTTAATATATTAAAAATAAAAAAATTATATTTACATATTTTTAAACAAAAAATATTTTTAAATCATTCTTGGTACCACAATATCAAATAACATATTACATAATCTATGAATCTTATATTCTTTGTAAGTTATAAATAAACTTATTTTTCAAAACTTAATAAAGAGAATTCAATGATACAATTAAATATTTAACTAGTTATAAAAGATAGATCCGCGTAATAAATTAATAAGAGATTTAATTGATCTTGACCTGAACCCATTTAGATAGAAAAAGTCATGCTAACAAAGTCAATTTTATCTTTAATTTGTAATAAATTAATAAGAGATTTAATTGATCTTGACCTGAACCCATTTAGATAGAAAAAGTCATGCTAACAAAGTCAATTTTATCTTTAATTTGTAATAAATTAATAAGAGATTTAATTGATCTTGACCTGAACCCATTTAGATAGAAAAAGTCATGCTAACAAAGTCAATTTTATCTTTAATTTGTAATAAATTAATAAGAGATTTAATTGATCTTGACCTGAACCCATTTAGATAGAAAAAGTCATGCTAACAAAGTTAATTTTATCTTTAATTTGTTAATGTTTTCTAGAATTGTTTATCTCAAAATTATATTATTTTAATTTTAAAAAATAAAATTAAAATCAATTTAGATTAACTCTCATAACTCAGGTCTTGTGACATATATGCAATAAATCTGGTTTTACAGCTATATATATATATATCATAAAGTTTAAAGTACTCTGTGGATGTAAAGGAGAAAAGGACTTCTCCATCAAAACAAACCTTTTCCTTTTTAACCCTTTTTATTATCCACTTTTTTTTTTGTTTTTTTTTAAATAACATAACCTTCTGTGGATGTAAAGGAGAAAAGGACTTCTCCATCAAAACCAACCTTTTCCTTTTTTATTTTTTTCCTTTTTAACCCTCTTTATTATCCACTTTTTTTTTGTTTTTTTTAATAAGATAACCTGCGTGGACGCTCACATGGAATGGAACTCATGCAATCATCACGGTTAAAGGAAGAGGATTTAAAAGAACTCCTTGATCGCATGGGTATTGGAATCTACTTTTGTAATTTCCTTCAGTATAATATATATATATATATATATATATATATATATATAATTCAAATATACAAAAGCATACTTTAATTTCATAGTGCGTAAATGCAAATCATTCTCTGACTGGAATTAATATTCAATGCTGTTGCTAAAAATAAAATAAAAATTATAATCTCTAGTCAGGAAGACAGTGGTTCAAGAAAGGTGTTATTCAATTTTTAATCCACTGCGTCGAGTTGAGAGTTAGCTGGGTCATTTTTAATACATCCCTTGTTTTTTATTTGCTTAATTTCCTTTTATATATATAGTTTAGTGAGTTAACTTGTTAATTATTTACTCAAAACCGATCACAAACTGGGTGAGTATTAAAATTTTTAATTTTTTTGAAGTTATTTTTAAAAAAAAAAACCTTGAATAAACTTATCTGGTCCGATGTGATTCAGCTAGCAATTTAAGTATTGATTTAAATTGGTCTTTAAATCCGTATTTTATATCTTTGATGTCAACTCAGTCACACATGATTTCACCATCTTATAACCAAATAAAGTGAGAAAGATGGAAGGATAAAAGAAATGGAATTATGTAATATAAAGATTTGCCAGTGCTATACCTAAAAAATCAAGATGATTTATAAAAGTGCTTTTCCCCATCTTTATGGAAGTTTCCTTTACCCTTCACAAAAGCAGACAGGGTGAGAGCCTGCAATCCCTCAATGGGGGGGTGATTTTAAATAAAAAAGAAAATAAAACAAAAAATATATACAAATATAAAGAGGAACATGCAGCAGTACATCATGATATACATATATCACATCACCATGTATCGCCACTCACGTAGATGATTGTTGCACGTCCTCTGTTTTCGTGGGGTCACCATGTGATGCACGTGTAAGCCATAGGCTAGTTAATGATGGGTAGCGGGGGCGCCCCTTTCTCTATCACCATGTACAGTCATGTTTTATACAAATATACTGTATTAAAGTAATATTCTTTTTTGTTTTATCAAAATAATTTTAAAAAATAAATTAAATTTTTACCCAATAATGTTTGGACCATCTACCTTGTTATAAAAAAATTATCTATTTTTTTTTTAAATTTTCTTTTCTTGAATAATCATAGTTACAAACAAAAAATTTTACCCAATAATGTTTGGACTATTTATCTTATTATAACAAAATTATTTATTTTTTTAAATATGATTTTCTTGAATAGTCCTTGTTACAAACAAAAAATCTTATTAAATTATGCTTTTTTAATAAGTAATAATTTTTTATCAAATCATTAATGGAATAATGGATATTTATTGGTTAAATTAATTAGAATTTTGAATAAGATTTTAGTCGTATGGAATTATACGGTAGATTTTATAATTGCAGCTTTAAAAAACATGTGAGAGAAAAGCTATAAATTTAAAATATTTAGTAGAATTTATACAAAATTACAATATATATATTAATTAACCAAATAATCTCAAAAATAAAGGAAAACGATGGACATAAAATACAATTTTAACCACGCGGCGCTATACGGAGAGACAGACACACAGGTTCCGGCTAGTCGCCGCCGCGCACAGCAAAGGAAGAGGCACAAAAATTGCCCTGCCCCCACAGATGCTTTTGATCGACATGCCAAAGGGGAGCCAACTAATTGCCGATGACTCAGAGTCGATGCTCTGCATCAGGTTAGCACATGATAATGACACCTGTACGTATAGCATAGTACCACTACCAACCTTTTATGGTGATGGTGATGTGGATGTGAAAAATCTCATGTACATGCATGCATGCATGCATGTTTCGACTTGTATAAACAGGGGCATAGAAGGAAGAGAGCCAGTGTAACTGTGGGGGTTATGTGATTGCCCAGGAAGATGCTTTTGCTCAATGCCTAGGGGCAAAAGGACCAATGTATCCTCCTACTCTCTCTCTCTCTCTCTCTCACGCGCGCGAATATATTTCTGTACGTTAACCTATCGGCCTTTTATATGTTTTTCTTTTTTGTCAACTTAGTACAGCAAACTTTAAAATTGAAGAAATGATATTGACTGAAAATGATTTCGGTAAAATAATAAAATTTTATCTTATCATGCTTTTCAAGGATGATGTTTATTAAATAATGTGTTTTTGAGGTGCAAAAATTACATGGCATGTTTTTAAAACACAATATTAATTAAATATCGTGTTTAAAAATAATGATTACAACTGGTTAGGCCAACATAGTACTTATGTATCATAGGGGGATGTATGAAAGAATGAAATATTTATATAGATACATCTTGTGGGTACTAATGAGGAATATATGATTTAATATATGAGTATAACATGACAAATTATTAATCTAGATCTCGAGCAAGTTATTCCACCTAGATGTATGCAGTATGAGCAACATGCATAGTGGATTCAATATTATGTAAGTAATAAAGTCTTTTTATGATTAATATATGTTAACCGTTGAGTTTTATGTATTTATTTTTAATTTAACA